GGAACAAAGGGGACTTACTTCTGAGTAAATATGTATAGGATTTCATGTGGCCATGTGCCCTACTCCACAAAGGACAGTCCTCTATTTGAAGGGCTGTCTGGTCCAAGTCCAGTTTAAACCATGAATGGGAGAGAGGCAGGGAGGGGAGCTTTCCCAACAAGAATTAGCCCTTGGGCACCAGACTGAGCAGGGACACAATTCTCCTAGTGAGATGTGCTACATTTCTGTTTAAATGACAGCAATTACTTCTAAATTTGCATTGATATGTATACATTAACACATACAGTTTTTATGCAAATGTGTCTCCCTTTGTTCTCTTTTTGGTGCTGCCTACATCTCCATTCTAATAGAATTGTGCAGTGAAGGGCCTTGATCACTATCTTGTTGGTGTGGCTACTATATTGTCCTGTTCTGTGCTAGCCAAGATTTTTCTTATCAGATTTTTCAGTATTTTGCATCTTCTATATAAATCACATCTCAACTGAGCAGTGTTAAGCAATTCAATACAAGAGCTAAATAAACTCCAAAAATACAACATACATAAACAACGGAAGACTGGTGTGCGTGTTCACATTTTCCTATAAAATATGACTCCTAGAAAAGTGGAGTTAAGGCAGATAAAACCATTCAAAAAACAAACACTATGCAGATGGGGTACCCTGGGAAATGACTTTACTATCACAGTTATTAAGACTATTAAGAGATGTAAAGATTATGGGGGGGGGGGAGAGAGAGAGCACAAGAAAAATCAGCAGAAGAGTATAGTGAGCAGGCAAAAGTGGGAAATACATTCTGATAATGTGATTTAAAATCACACTTGTGCATCATACAGTTAAAAACTGTATTCTTCACAAATTGTACAGATCACTATGAAAATCTAGAATTTCAAAGAAAATGAGGCATATATATGCAATCCAATGAAAGCCTGCTACGTAATACAAACACCCTCTTAAACACACAAGAACCCTTATCATGGTATACTAGATAAAGCAGGCAAGATGGTCACAATCAGTGAAATGGAGCTGATCAGACCTTGTGCCGAAGGAAAACAAACACAGTTAATTTATTGTGTTTTTAAATGCTTATAACTAAAGCAGCCAGCTCCTCTGCTCTAACAAGCAAAAGCAAGAGATCACAGGACACAGTATTAGGATCTCTCTGTCTAGTCCAAGGAGACAAGTCGTCCTTTCACTCTGATGCTGGGACTTGTCTGAGACTTGTACCGAGTTGAGCTTTCTTCTTGTAAAACAGCAAGTGAATAGGCCCACAGTTAAATGTAGTGCTTATAATGCTGGCACTCCAGTATCTCACTGCCAAGAGCAAGTGCCCTGCCACCACAGAGATTAGGAGGAATTCAATTTACTGCATTTTGTAATTTTGCCAAGTGTAGTGATTTGTTTTCTATTACTCATGCAGAGGTCATTCTGCAGAGGGTGAAAATGGAATGCAAACTTTAAGCCAGCTATGCTAGGCAACTGTGCTCAATACTTTCCAAGAGCTCATCTGAAAATTACTTCAGTACTACTGGGAATCCATTTTACCTACCGTGGGGCATTCCAAATTAAATTTTAAAAAGTACCCAGTTTGCGCAGCTCTATATGCTTTTTCTTACTCCCACATCCATGGTCAGAATTGGTTAAGAACTGCAGTTATGGAGACTGACCATAGGCAGGTATGCTTGGAAGTAACTCCTCTTGAGTAACATGGGATTTACACCAAAACAATGTTATAAATCTCAGTCTCTCCAGGTTAAGGCCATTGGCATGCTACTATAGATTTCCAATTACTCCATTACAATCCAGTAGTTACATGAAAAATGTAGATCTCTCTGGTAAGCGGAGATGGCATTTGTTCTGCTTGGTGATCATTGAAGACACTCTTTTCCTAGTCAGAAGTTAATTTACACTGTTTAAAGTGCTGTTTTGGCATTTTCCAAACTTTTTTGCCAGAAGTAAATGAGGCTTTAGAGACATTGATCCAATTACAAAATAATCAGTTCTATAGAATGTAGAGAAAAAAGCAAATAAGATTAACAAGACAATGATTAAGGAAACAGTGAGTTAATCCACTGAATAATAACATTAGCTGCATCTATTGATTTCCTAAACAACCCTGGTTTGGAGATTATGAGTCACAAAGATCTCAAATTAGTGGCATTTAATGACACAGGTACAGAAAGGGGAGGATGAGCAAAATGAAGGTGTTTGCAAATCTTTTGTTCAGTATGCCTTTTGTCAGAATAAGTAAAATAAACTTCAGAAATCCTTGTTAAGTGTAACATTTCCTTGTATTAGAGCAGCCCATTAAAAGTTTGTTAAGCCAATGGAAAAGTATTTTGCCTTTGTTCAACATATACTGGATCCTGGATTTCATTTGGGAGAAAAAACAATCAAAGAGCCTTGTGGCCGCTTAAAGATTAACAAACTTATTATGGCATAAACATTTGTGGGCTCGAGCCCACCTTATCAGAGGCATAAAGTTAGCTGAAAGATATATAAAGGAGAATTTTGTAAAGTGAGAGTTGAATGGCAATGAGACGCAAAAATTACAGTCAGCATATTTCCCCAACCCCAGTCCTTTCAGAATGAGATCCTACTAATTGCATTTGTTTAGAAAGATGATGTTTTACTTTATGAATCCCTCCCGTTACTTTTAAATCCCAACTATGTGATGCTACAGACTATTTATTTATATCTGAACAATGATTAACAGCCTTGAAAGAGAATTTCAAACAACTAGACCTGTTCTGTAATCCTTTTCAGGAAAACACAGAAAGACTGCCACTTTACATGGCTAAAGAGAAAGCCACACAAGGATTCAATATGGCTTCTCCATTGTACACTTTGCAGTAATCCCTGCGTATGAAAAATCATGACTCAGTGGCTTGGATCAGAACTTCGCTTTTAGGAACAGAATAAAGCTTAATGGAATGAGGCTTTCCTATCTGCCCCTTCCCCCTGCAGCCCCCTGCAAATCTGATCCTGGACAGTTGGAGGGCCCTTGAGACTGGTGAGGGATGTGGTGCCTATGGAAGCTGCAGGAGGAAGCAGTCGAAATTCATTTCCTCCATTTTGCATGAACAGAGGAGCAGCTTAGAATCCAAGACCATAGAGTTGAGAGGAGCAGATTGCACACCATAACTTTTGAAGTACATTTGAAGCACATCCGCTGCCCAATAATTCCCCAAGGAAAGTGTTTGTCAAGGGTGCCAGTAACTGTAGCTTTGTGATGGGCAGTAGCAGCCAGTGAGGCAGTATGGCCGGGACACTTGTGGCTCTCCTGGAGCCAATCCAATGCTTCTGCCACCCAAAACAAACAAGATGAACTTTAACAGGGAGAAATGTAAAGTATTGCACTTGGGCAAAAAAAATGAGAGGCACAAATACAAGATGGGTGACACCTGGCTTGAGAGCAGTACATGTGAAAAGGATCTAGGAGTCTTGGTTGACCACAAACTTGACATGAGCCAACAGTGTGACGCGGCAGCTAAAAAAGCCAATGCAATTCTGGGCTGCATCAATAAGAGTATAGCATCTAGATCAAGGGAAGTAATAGTGCCACTGTATTCTGCTCTGGTCAGACCTCACCTGGAGTACTGTGTCCAGTTCTGGGCACCACAGTTCAAGAAGGACACTGACAAACTGGAACGTATCCAGAGGAGGGCAACCAAAATGGTCAAAGGCCTGGAAACGATGCCTTATGAGGAACGGCTAAGGGAGCTGGGCATGTTTAGCCTGGAGAAGAGGAGGTTAAGGGGAGATATGATAGCCATGTTCAAATATATAAAAGGATGTCATATAGAGGAGGGAGAAAGGTTGTTTTCTGCTGCTCCAGAGAAGCGGACACGGAGCAATGGATCCAAACTACAAGAAAGAAGATTCCACCTAAACATTAGGAAGAACTTCCTGACAGTAAGAGCTGTTCAACAGTGGAATTTGCTGCCAAGGAGTGTGGTGGAATCTCCTTCTTTGGAGGTCTTTAAGCAGAGGCTTGACAACCATATGTCAGGAGTGCTCTGATGGCGTTTCCTGCTTGGCAGGGGGTTGGACTCGATGGCCCTTGTGGTCTATTCCAACTCTATGATTCTATGTGCTGCACTGCACCAAACTCCCCACACACCTTGCTAAGCTGCTGTGTTAGGAAGCCAGGAAAGACATTACAGGTGAGGGGTAAACTACAGTTCCCTGTATTCTTGCAGGGGGCGGGAGGTATGTGCTTTAAAGGTATGGTGGCATCTGTGAACAGACTGACATTTCCATGTAAGGAAAGACCAGCTTTTCATTAGTGTATGTCTACAGTGTAAACATAAAGCAGTTTTGAAATAGTTTATCTATTATTGTTACCATTATCATAACTATATTAAAAGAATTAACCAGCATTCACCAGCAGGTCCCAAAGCAGGTTACAACAATTTAAAATTCAGTATTAAAAATACTTAAAATTGCACTACAGTCACAGGAATAGGGTCATAGCTGTCAACTTTTCTCTTTTCTTGTGAGGAATCCTATTCGGAATAACGGAATTTCCCTTAAAAAAGGGGGAAAGTTGACAGCTATGAATAGGGTGGGTCCTAAAAACACACATCTGGCAAAGATCAGGGCAAAGAGGTGTGTCTCCAGCATTCACCTGCACCTCTGTGGGCAGTTCCACAATTTAGGAGCTGCCACAGAGAATGCCCTCTACTGGGCCACCCAATCCCCAACTTCTGAAATCTGCAGAGCTAGTATCAGGAGACCCTTTTCTGCTGCTCTTAAAGCCCGAGAGGGTCTGTAGGGAAAGAAGCAGTCTCTCAGATATTTGGGACCTAAGTCATTTAAGTTGAGTTCAGAAATGAACTAGCAACCAACGCAGCTGTTTCAGAATGGGAGTTGTATGACTTTTAAAGGCAATCAGGCTGCTGCATTTTGAACCGGTTGAAGTTTCCAAGTTGTTTTCATCTGGCTACAGATTTCTGGCAGATTTCTTTAGATGCCCCCTAGCAAAATAGCACACTCTACATGTTGGGCATTATTTATTTATTTTCCAAAGTTATACGTCACCTTCAGGGTAAAGGCCTCCCAAGGTGTTCCACTTAAACATTTTAAACCATAAAATACAACTAAAACATCTCATTACAATTTCAAAAACTAAAAACAGCAGTTCTAGAATACAATATAACCCAGTACAGCAATCCAGATAAAACAGATTTTTAAACAACAACACAACAACAATTTAACTGTTAGGTACTCAGACCCTCACCTTATTAAAAGCAAATTGAAATAAAGAAGGTTTTAAAGCTAACACAAACAGGGCCAGACATCAATTCCCTCAGGAGTGAATTCCACAAATATGGAGCTACCACTGAAAAGCCCATGCCCCTAGTGTTTGCCAGTCTAAGAGATCTTATTGACAGTGGCCATGTGAACAAAGCTTTCCTAATCTTTTTTTTTTTTAATTATTAATTTCCTTTTCTTTAGTTACAAATATACTTATAACACACAGCTTACATAAACATCTCTCCCTCCCACCTTTTGGACTTCCCTCAACTTCTATTTCTGATTTATTAACCTCATTAGTATATTCTGCTATTTTCTACAAATATCATATTTTTCCTTTTATTACATTATCTAAATCCTATAAGATCTATATTCTTTCTTTGTATCTGCAAATATAATATAAAAGGTTCCCACTTTTTCTAAACCGCTATTGTCCTTTCCCCAAAGTCTGTGTGTCAGCTTAACCAATTCAGCATAGTTCATCAGTTTTTCTTGCCATTGCTCTTTTGTTGGAATTTCTCCAGTCTTCCAGTTCTGTGCTAGTAGTATTCTTGCTGCCGTCGCATATATAAATAATGTCCTTTTATCTTTTGGCAGGTCTTGTCCGAATATACTCAACAGGAAGGCTTCTAGTTGTTCAACAAATGTTATTTTAAACATTTTTTTAAATTCGTTGTAGATCATTTCCCAATATACCTTAACACTTTTACAATCCCACCACATATGATAAAAAGTCCCTTCAACCTCTTTGCGCCTCCAACATTCCCTCTGTTCATATTTATATATTTTGGCCAATTTCACCAGTGAGATATACCATCTATACATCATCTTCATGTAATTTTCCTTTAACAATATACAGTCTGTAAATTTCAGATTTACTTTCCAAAGTTTTATCCAATCTTCAAATTGTATATTGTGGCCTATGTCTTGCACCCATTTGATCATTACTGATTTCACTTCCTCATCTTTCGTTTCCCATTCCAAAAGGATGTTATGCATTTTCTTTTATAATTTTGAGTTCTCTTCTATTACTTCCTTTTGGAATTTAGAAACCCTGTATAAAAAGCCTTTCTTACTGTCCTCTTGAAAAATATATTTTAGCTGCCTATGATGCAACCAGCTTTGAAGATGTTCCTTTATTTCCTCATATTCTTTCAATTCTAGTTTCCCTTCCTGTTCTACTAACAATTCTCTATATGTCGGCCAGACTCCCTTTCCCCCCAATGTTTTTAGTGACCACCAAGGTGTTTTGGGTTCTAATAGTTCATTATATTTGTCCCATACTTTGAACAATGCTTTTCTTATTATGACTGTGGAATCTTTTATGGATTTTTGTTTTTCCATACCATAGACAGATATGCCATCCAAACCTATTGTCATGTTCTTCCAAGTCTGTTATCTCTTCTCTGTCAAGTTTAATCCAATCTCAGATCCATATTAGGGTTGCAGCTTCGTAATACAATTTTAAGTCTGGAAGTGAGAAACCACCTCTCTCTTTCACATCTGTAAGCATCTTATTTTTTATCCTCGGATTTTCCCCATTCCAGAGAAATCTTGAAATTTCCTTTTGCCATTCTTTGAAGCATGCAGTGCCTGCTATTATTGGTATTGTCTGAAAAAGAAATAACATTCTTGGAAGCACATCATTTTTATTGCTGCGATCCTTCCTAAAAGGGATAGATTCGTCCTGTTCCATATTTCAAGATTTCTTTTAACTTCTAGCCAAACTTTTACATAATTATCCTTATATATGTTAATATTTTTTGCTGTTAACCATATACCTAAATACTTTACTTTTTTGTGGGCTTCTATTCCTATCTTATCTGTTATTTCTTTCTTTTCATGTTCTTTAATATTCTTTAATCTTACATTCTAATCTTAAGGGCCAGGCAACTTCCTTTGGGTACAGGTGGACAGAGTCCTTCAAATAACTTTGTCCTGAACTGTTTAAAGGTCAATATCAGCACTTTAAACTCCTCTGGAAACTAACAGGCAATGCATCTGCTACAGTATAAAATACAAACAACATGGTTTCTAAAAGATGTGGGGAGGGAAGCAGGTATTTATGATATAGCCCAAGTTGTGTTCATTCTGAGAATGACGGGACGTGTACTGCCTTTGCACCCTCTGAAAGGTCAGCTGGGTTGTAGTTATTGCAGACTGGCAAATCTTGGCGTATATACACACTGAGCTGAAATGGTTCCAAAAAACCAACAAAGGGATCATCGCAGGAGCAACCTGTTTCCTGAGGAAAGTGGGAAGGTACAAAATGCTCACTCTCCCTCCCCAGGGATTGATCTTGCAAAGATTCCCATAATATGATATATGTTGGTTTCATATGTGAATGTCATTTTCTTCTTTTCATGAAGTTCCCACAAAGCAGAGACACATAGACACAAAGTGGGATGCCGCTGCATAAGATCCCGGCAAAAAGCCTTTTTTAAGTCAATAGCCACCATCGCCCAATAAACATTTGCACATCTCTGGATCATAGTAGGAAACATAGCAGAAAAGATTCAAATCTTACAGAGAGAAATGCTTCTGCCAGAACAGGATTCCCTGCAGCTGTCTGTAATTAGCTTCTCATGTGGATCCTTTGGATTTTATAGTGCAGGCCCCATACATACACAGCTTCCTGAGGGCCAGAGACACAGCTGTAGGGAAAACTGAGCTACAGAATTGTATGCAAAGCCTTCTTGATGTTTGTAGCCCTCCAGATGTTGGCCTCAATGTCCCATTATGCCTGACCATCGGTCATGCTGGCTGGGGATGATGGGAGTTGGAGTCCAACAATATCTGGAAAGTCACAGCTTCTCCACCCCGTTGTATGTTTAGTCCTCACAATTTACAATGATGCATCACTACCTCCTTTGGTTAGTTATCTGCAAAAATAGCTCCCCCCCCTTTCCCTGAAAATAAGCTATTAAGCCGTTAGAGAAAATGTCCCCCTCCCTTTAGTAATAGGAATAATGCTACAATAGTATTTACAGCAGGGATAGAGAACCTGTGGCCCTCCAGATGTTGTTGGGCTCTAAGACCCATCATGCCTGATCACTAGCCACGCTAGCTGAGGCTGATGGGAGTTGGGGTCCCATAACATCTGGAGAGCCGCAAGTTCCCCATCTTTGATCACTATTTATTTTCCTTCGCAAAATCATTCTTCTCTTGCAGAACTAGTTGACTAACATCCAAGCAAACTGGTAACGTTATAATTCCTCGATAAGAGTTTGCAGTTTATGAACGCTTCACATCACGCTTCAGCAATACACTAGTGTATTGGGTGGGTGATTCTATTATTTTATCATGTTTTGAGATAAATTGTTTTTCACCATTAGAAACTGAGATTCTCTGTGGGATCTCTTCAGCTTTGCCCGGCGATTCTGGAACCAGATCTGAAATTGTTAAAAAAAAAAGGTACGCTTGTTACAGATCAACCATCTTTATAGCACCACTTAAAGGAAAGGGCTATGTTGGAAAATGAAGCCTCAGTGTACAACCACATACAGTGGTACCTCAGGTTAAGAACTTAATCCGTTCCGGAGGTCCGTACTTAACCTGAAACTGTTCTTAACCTGAAGCACCACTTTAGCTAATGGGGCCTCCTGCTGCTGCTGCACCGCTAGAGCATGATTTCTGTTCTCATCCTGAAGCAAAGTTCTTAACCTGAAGCACTATTTCTGGGTTAGCAGAGTCTGTAACCTGAAGCGTCTGTAACCTGAAGCGTCTGTAACCTGAGGTACCACTGTACTAACATAAAATATTGCCACTGTGAGAACAGGATGGTGGAACAGATGGGCCTTTGGCCTGATGCAGCAGGGCTCTCCTCATGTTCTTTGAGCTATGACATACCCAATCTGGGTGCTAGATTGAAATGAACATTTTGTAGATAAATGAGAGAAGAAAACTTGTGGAATGGCTGCATTTGGTGATTGGTTTTAGGAAATCAGACCGTCACAGTCTCTGATGCGGATCTATCCAGACTTCTAAGCTACTAGAAAGTGCTGGCCGTGGATGCTTGGCCATCCACTGCAGTCCACAAAAGAGACCTGACTTTTTAAAGCACTAAATGATGCAGTTAAAACAAAGATAAAAGTCCATCATCAGCACCCAAAGCAGAGTCAGAAAGTATTCTGAACAGCATCCAAAACAAGTTGCAACCAGGTTAGAAAATACAAATTATGTCTACTTAGTAAGACATAACTTCAGTCTGTTTGAAGGCAGATAAAACAAAGTTGTTTAAAATTATGTGGAATTTTAAATCAAATGTTGAATAATAAGTCTAAGATTGCTAAATGCACCTTAATCGTTTTGTAGTTATAACCAAACCTATTTTAAGTTTCTCATTCCACTTAAACAGAAGTTTGAAAAACGTACAGCACCCAATCCCATGCATGTTTACTCAGAAGAAAGCCCCACTGTGTTCAATGGAGCCTACTCCCTGGCCAGCATGCTTAGAATTGTAGCCTTAGTTTTTGCTGATATAAATTCCTAATATAATCATAATTTTACATTCTCTTGCAATCCTAAGCACACTTACTTGGGAGTAAAGATCATTGAATTCTGTATGAGTTACTTCTCACTATACAATCAAGACATCACACTTCCAAGTCTTAAATCCTGGCAACATATATGGTTTCGGGTTAAATAAAATGCATTTCTTTTATAGTAAGTTTATATTTAGGCAAATATATGTGGAGTTAGGGAGTGCAAATATATGCAGTGTCCGGTTTTCTCCCATAAAGTGCTCCAAAGGCAATCCCAAAACAGTAGGAGTCAGAATCTCTGCAGTTAATTATTATTTCCAACCACTGCGAGATCTGCTAAGCAGACATACAGACATGATCACAGAAAGATTCAAATAATGGTGTTCAAAAGATACCTGGATCCTGTCTTCATCTAAATCTAATTTTTGAGCTAGTTCTTCTCTAACATCAATCCCAGGATAAGAGTTCACTCTGAAAACATTTTCCAATACTTCAATCTAAGGAGAATAAAGAGGAACATTATTATTTATTTATTGTTCACCGCAGCAAAAAATAAAGTTGAATCACCTGATAAAAACTGAAGTCAGATTCTAAACTTAAATACAAATCAACAGTAATCAACTAAGCTATTTTGAACAACATTGATGATTACATGTTAACATTTATATGCATTTTTATTCAGTAAATGAATGATTGTACAGACTTTTGTGAAACAGGCATTTCTGGATTCTTGCTAATAAATACCCTCTTACTAAACAATGCCCCAAGCAAAACATCCATTCTTAGATTTATGAATAGGTTAAATGTACTCAATCCCTACCTGGCTTCGAGTGAATGCAGTTCTTGGCCTCCTACCTCTGTACCAACTCAATTCCCTTTTGTAAGAAAGCTTTTCATTGACTGCAAAATAGTTTTCACATTTCCGAACCCTTTCTTCTGCCTCTGGGTAGCTGATCGCATTAAACAATGGGATTGCATAGGAAATGGCAGGAAACCGTAGACAAGGGTTGCAATCCTCTCCTGAAAAGTCACAAATGCAGTGTTTTAATACCATGAAATGTTGGGTTATACGTTTCAAACCTAAGAAAGACAAAACTGAAAGACAACAACCTGATTTTTTTTCTTTACAGCTTATTTAATGGATGCACACTGCTTGTTAATTATCTTTTTTAAAGCCCTGAACTCAGGTTAAAAAGTTAAGAAAACAGAAATGAAGGTTTCCCTCTTACCTAAATCACTGCATTTATCCATCCATGGCCTGTGTGGCTTTGCAGCAGTTGTGCCATCTTTTTTCCGCTCTAACCCCAAAATGCTTTCAATGGAAAATGAAGATGCTTTTTTGCTTTCTCCAAGATTGGAATTGTCCTGATGATTGTGAGAAGTTTCATTAAGAGGACAGAGTGATCTGCTTGCCATTCTTGTACTGTCAGCCTAGATACCAAATGCACCATAGTTCAGGTTTTCTTTCCCAGTTCCTCCTTATAGCTTTGTTGACAAGGGGGTTGGATTCGCCACGTCATTAATTAAAATCTTTTATTAGAAAGTTTTAGCATGTCAATGAAGATTCTCCCACCAAGAGGCACGAGGAGTTAATTGTTTATTTGTTTGCAAGTAATTAGCAACTAATGGTGACACCAGGGGGGGCACCAAGAGGGACAAAAAGTGTTATCTCGTCTAACCAGAGCATCAGACTTAACTTTCTCAAAAGAACCAGCGCACAAATATAGCACTTCTCTTTTATTTGAAATCATTAATGTATAAAATCAGGTTTCTTAAAAAAAATAACATTCTAATGGACTCCACTTACCTAAACATAACAGCATGATAGGAAACCAGTCAAGTAATAAGTAATCTCATTTAAGTGAATTTTCTTCCAATGAAATTTTAAAAATAATCTCTTAATGCTATTAGGGTAATCCTGATGAAAAAGCTTCTGTTTTTTCATATGCATATGTAATAGTGAACATGGTCAATAATATAACAATGGTGTTTGGCATAAGGCACACTGCAATGGGTTGGCAATGTTGTCAGAGCTCAGTGTAATTGTCTTCCAAGAGCATGGATTAGTTAACAGGAATTGTTGAACTAAGTAGTTTGAAAAGGTAGAAATTTGTTTGCTTCTCCCCAGCCCCCAGCCCCCAGCCCTTGTATTATGCTGATGTAATTTTATGCTGATATTCTAAGAGGAGCCCAACAAATACTTGTACAAAACTTTGGAGAACAATCCCAGTGAAATCAAGAGCAGAGGAACCTTTTGTTTTAAAAAAGCAGGATTGTACCCTGTATGCTACTGTTGCTTAGAGGGGAGGTGGTATTTAACATTAGTCAGTCTCATAGTATACCCACTGGAATCAGTTAAGTAATTTTCCATTAGTTTCAGTGCAAGTTGCAAAGTACACCTTTTTATATCAGAATCTGTTATGGATGGTGTCTTGTCTGATGGTGTCTTGTCTTGCAACTCCTGCAGTCAAGATGGTGCCAAACATATTGTTCTGCTTTCCTTTGGACCACATCCAGTGGCGGAGCTTCATAGAATCATAGAGTTGGAATAGACCACAAGGGCCATCGAGTCCAACCCCCTGCCAAGCAGGAAACACCATCAGAGCACTCCTGACATATGGTTGTCAAGCCTCTGCTTAAAGACCTCCAAAGAAGGAGACTCCACCACACTCCTTGGCAGCAAATTCCACTGTCGAACAGCTCTTACTGTCAGGAAGTTCTTCCTAATGTTTAGGTGGAATCTTCTTTCTTGTAGTTTGGATCCATTGCTCCGTGTCTGCTTCTCTGGAGCAGCAGAAAACAACCTTTCTCCCTCCTCTATGTGACATCCTTTTATATATTTGAACATGGCTATCATATCACCCCTTAACCTCCTCTTCTCCAGGCTAAACATGCCCAGCTCCCTTAGCCGTTCCTCATAAGGCATCGTTTCCAGGCCTTTGACCATTTTGGTTGCCCAAAATGCGCGTCCCAGGGGCGTTGCGCCCAGCGTGGGCAGAGGGGCAGCCGCGATGGCACCCCACTGGGATCGCACTGCCAGGGATGGTGTGCTCCCCCCGCACTCCTCTTCATCCGCCAGTGACCACATCAGTGAAGCTGGGTGGGGGTCTTGTCATCTGGGTAGCCCAGGACCTCCATATACACTGCCCAACCTTGTGTCCAGGAGTTGCTTTTATGTGCTAAGTCAATTGGAATTTAAGTACAGTATCATAAAGCATGTCAAAGTGCAAGTAGATAAATAGGTACCACTCCGGCGGGAAGGTAAACGGCGTTTCCATATGTTGCTCTGGTTTCACCAGAAGCCGCTTAGTCATGCTGGCCACATGACCCGGAAAAACTGTCTGCGGACAAAGCATCAGCTCCTTCGGCCAGTAAAGCGAGATGAACACCGCAACCCCAGAGTCGTCTGCAACTGGACTTAACTGTCGAGGGTCCTTTACCTTTTTAAAGCATATAAAAGAAGGTTTGAAGTTAAATACATTTATTAAATGCATCAGTACTGTTTATCTTTGGGCTATTGTATTTTTTCCAATAAAGTATGAATGGGAAACTCAGTTTCATCTCTGGACTCCACAACCTTACTGTCAGAAAGTTCTTCCTGATGTTTGGCTGGAATCTCCTTTCTTGTAAGTTGGATCCATTGGCTTGGGTCCTACCTCCAGAGCAGGAGAAAACAAGCTTGCTCCATCTTCATTGTGACAGCTCTTTAGATATTTGAGATGGCTATCAAATCTCCTCTCAGTCTCTTTTCTAAGCTAAACATACCCAACTCCTTAACCATTCTTCATAAGGCTTAGTTTCCAGACCATTGATTGTCTTGATTGCCCTCCTCTGAACACATTCCAGCTTGTCAATACCCTTCTTAAATTGTGGCACCCAGAACTGGACACAGTATAAATAATAATAAAAAAAATAATAATTGATCATTTATACCCCGCCCATCTGGTTGGGTTTACCCAGCCACTCTGGGCAGCTTCCAACAAAATATTAAAATACAATAGTCCTTCAGATATTAAAAGCTTCCCTAAACAGTATTCCAGGTGTGGTCTGACCAAGGCAGAATAGAGTGGTACTATTTCTTCCCTTAATCTGGACAGTATACTTCTGTTCATGCAGCCTAGAATAGTATTAGTTTATTTGCTGCTGTCTTACACTGTTGGCTCATGTTAAGCTTATGGTCTAAGACCTCTAAATCCTTTTAATATTTACTGTTGGAAATCCAGGTGTCTCTCATCTTATATTTGTGCAGCTGGTTCTCCCTACCTAAATGTAGAGTTTTTTATTTGTCCCAATCTGTTAAAATCATTTTGAATTCCAATTCTGTCTTCTGTGGCATTAGCTACCCCTCCCAGTTTGATGTCATCTGCAAATTTGGTGTCATTTGCATCTTCTCAATTCCTTCATCCAAGTCATTTATAAAGACATTGAACAACAACAGACCCAGGACAGAACCCTGTGGCATCCCACTTGTCACTTTTCCCCAGGATGATAACCATTAATGAGCACTCTTGAGTTTGGTCATTTAACCAGCTGTAAATCCACCTTGCCCAGCACACATTTTGCCAGCTTCTCTGCAAGAATATAATGGAGGACTTTGTCAAAAGCCTCACTGAAATCAAGATACGCTATATCCACAGAATTCCCCTGAGTTGGGAATAACAGTTTAGCCGCATAGGTGAATTGTGCCATTTTGTGCCACTTTTTATTTTAAAATGAATGTTAAATTATTGCTTTTTGTTCTATAGTAGTTTGTACTGAAAAGAACATTAACATTAATAAAAGCTCTATAATGCTGCCATCTAGTGTTGGCAATTTCTTGGTGTAAGCTTTGGGGGTAAGGTAAATTATAGAGTTATTAAAAACATGAAAGTCTCTTTTATTCCTTATTCAAAAGAAATTAAAAAAATGAGAGCTTAATTAATCTATGGATAATAAGCTTACATTATTTTGAGCTAATAATCAGTTAATATTTGCATTTATCATAGTTTGTTTTCTGAGAATGGCTTCCATGGAAGGTAAAACTAGAGAAATAAATTACTTTATGTATGGCATACTACTGAAGCCTGCTTTGCTCCTTTCAAGTCCTTTTTTGCTGCCTTGGTTTAGTATGCTGACCAAACCCAGGTTTGTGGTTAAGCTCTCTCCAGACTAACCTTAGGTTACCAGATGTACCCGTTTCCCAGGGACAGTCCCTGGATTTACAAATCAATCCCTGGACAAAATCCTAACATTCCTATTGAAGTTGAAAAGTGTCCCCAGATTCATGGGGGGGGGGAATCTGGTAACCTTAGACTAACCACGAGCTGTAACCAAAGTCTGTCTGGAGACAGGTTAAGCACAAGCCTGAGTTCAGAGAGCACATGAAGCCAATCCTTGGCTTACTTCAGGACAGGCTTGAAAAGGACCAGGGAAAAGCAAATTAGGTATGAGCTCCAACCAAGCCACACGTCTGTGCTCAGCCAAAGTTTAGTTCAGTGTGATGTGCACAACAGCCCAAGGAAATAAGAGCACTGTTCCATACCAGATGGAAACCCAGCAATGAAATGTGGGAAAAGACAGCAAGCAATCTGCAGCAGTGCAAAACATCCCATAAACATGTTCGACTTTAAAAATCCAGTATGTATACAAACTCTGCTCTTTTTGGGGAATACATTTACAAATAAAACAGTATTTGAATGTTTATTGTAGAACCTTTGTTACCTGTTGGACTCTTGAAGTGAGCAATCCTCTCAAGGTGCAATTGTCTAGCTATACTTGTTCCAATTTTGCCAGTGAACTGTCTGTATCTCTCTATCTTCAGCTTAAGCAAGCAGGAGGAGGGGTGGTGAGGGGTTCAGCCTAGGATGAAGAGTCTGGGTGTAGCTAGGGAGAAGGTATGGCCTGGAAAGAGTCCTGCAGGCAGATAGAGAAGGCTGGAGGGCACCATTTGGCCTGCCTGACCGGAGGTTCCTCACCTCTGTTGTGATTTAGGTGAAGGAGGCCCCCCCAGCCTGTTCACAGGTCCTTATATGATTAGTGAAAACAATTGGTCCTGGCAAGTATTTACCGCTCTCAATCTTAACCTGATAACTGCCATTTGTCCAGATTTTAATTTGTCTGAATTACGTAATTTTAAGATGTATTTTAATTAATTGATGCCTGTTTTTATGTATACTGTGTTATTTGTATGATGTTAGCCGCTCTGAGCCTGGCTTCGGCTAGGGAGGGCGGGGTGCAAATAAAATTTATTATTATTATTATTAAAATGTAAAGAGTGAATGGCAGGTGTAGTATGGGTAACTAATGACAGTGTCCCTTATCTTCCTAAAGATGCAGTCACTACCGCAGAAAAGTATTTTACTCTGGAATGGGTTAAAAAACATGGATGCACCTTGAGAATAAGTGCAAATGCAGCCTTATTATGCTTTCTGGTGGTAATGTAACTTCAGTACACTGGAATTTTGATTTATGCTTTATTTCCTAAAATTAGAAACATTGGGCTATTTTGATGTACTATTTTGATGTATCTGGCAGCCCAGCCAGTGCCATCTCAGTATACATAGAGGGGAAAAGGTCAAACCAGGAAAAAACCATAATGGCCTAGGCTGCAGTTCTATACACTTACCTGGGAGTAAGAACCACTGAATTCAATACTGTAGTGCTTATTTCTGAGTAGACATTAGATTACACTGCTAGTTAATCATTTCATTAAAGGTCTTACTTTTTCTAAGTCAGTTTGTATTACACATGGTAAATATTTGATAACGGAGTAATTCTTATCATGACTTGGGTTTATATATACTAATGTACTGCTGCATGTATCCCAGTCTCTGAGCAATGAGATTGCTGGGATTTCTGTGCTTACCTAGAGTTCTATTTTCTTGGAATGAAGGTCAATAGAGATTTTGGTGTCTTTAGGATATGTGGTTGCATTTACACATATATACAATTTAAGCATAAGACTGGCTCACAGCATTAACACACAAACATATCAATTCTCCATTTAGGTTCCAGGGAAGCTCCAAGCCACAGTGCTTGGGTCCACCAGCACAGAGCATGACGTAACTGTCTCTTCAGCTTCCAGTATCAGCCAAAACTTACCCACAAAACCCTGGCTACCATTCTTCTACCTTACAAGGTGATCTTGATTC